TCACTTTTTGTCAGTTGGAAAAAACATTCCCAAAGTAAGGCACGGCGTTATACCTTGACATATCAGGCCAGAGACTTAGGAAAAAGAATGGGGGGAGGGGGTGGCTTGGGAAGAAAAAATAGAGGAAGGGAACTAGGGTAGGGGTTTTCCAAGGGGGTAGGCCCACACTTCTTCCTACCTTAGTGCAGACCAGGCTAACCGTTGAGTCCCTCAGTACACTCCACTTTCTGGGCCCATCTCTTTGAAATTAACCATGATTTGCTAGGAGTAGTCCTGAGAATAAGTGAAATATTTCCAGCAATACTAACTAAATACAAATTTATCTTAAAGTTGTTGTAAAGGCTGATTTTTTAAAATTAAAATAATAAACATGTCATAACTGCCTGCTTCTTGCAAGGGTACTGCACAGAGCAGGCTCTTACCTCCTCTTCTGGGCCCCCTGCCTGTACTGCCTGCTTTGCCTCTTCTCTGAGTTATAGCTATATGCAGGTCTGTGGGTTGTAAAGCAATCTTGGGAAGCGCTATTCTACCCAGCCATGTGAACAAGACTTTCTGAAATGATTTAAAATCAGATTGGAGGGTGGCATGAATTGGAACAAAATTAGGCTGGAGTAGTTTGGAGGGGTAAGTAGGAAATCTAATGCTGAAATATTGCACAAAAGATCCATTCCATTTGCAGGAAAATTCAGTTGCCCCAAAGAGTGTAACGTAGGAGTCATGTTTAAGACCTATGACTTATTATAGCTGATTTCTGTATTCCTTAAAGATCTGCATTAGTTTTCAAAGGGATGCTCATATTTCTGGCTAGGAAGAACAGCATGTTATCAGTAAATGCTGATTCTTTGTGCTTTCAATCATTAATGATTACTCCCTGTTTACAGGGGTCTACTTAGACTAACCTAATGATAGGTTCTAATGAAAGAAAGAAACAGTGGGCATCCTGTTGCGTTGCATTAGCTATCTAATTTTCATTTGACAAGATGCCATTTGTCCTTATTCTTGCTGTGGGATAAGAGTAAATGGTCCAAATCCACCCTAGCACTTGTTGCTGCATCCCAATATGGTGAAAAACCTTAAAGTGTCACTAAACCCTGCATTCACTATATCTGGTCTCCCACAGTACACGGAACATGGGAATGCAATTATTTTAGTAAATATAAACTGCTAAATACCTTTTCTCATCAACAGTTAGAGCAGTCTTGTGACTTCTAGCAATGTTCAGCAGAGCAGTGGTTAAAGCTTGTAGTAGGAGTTTTCATTCTTCTCTAGGAGGATACAGAATCCCTGACCTCTGTCTGGACAGTGCGGATTGGTCCTGTGCTGATCACATGCACTCTCCAAAAAAAAAACATATTCACTCTAGCAATACACACCAAACTGAGCATGTGCACAAGGGCTACGGGTTCAGTCTGTTTTATCAGCGTGGACATTTGAACAAAAGGAGGGGCATAGAAGTCAGGATGTGCAGAGTGACTCCACAATATGTCTTATCAGGAGACTAGAAGAAGGGGAGGGTCAGAGAAGTCAGGATTTACACAATGCAGAGGATTAACCCCTTATGATCCACAGCGAGTATAACAATCATGGTTTACTGCATATACAGACTGATTTTACTGTTGTAGGTTTAGTAACACTTTAAACATGAAATCCCACGTTACTCTTTCAAATGCCTCCTCAGCAATCATGGACAATAAGATCGCCTATATATTATTAGTCTTCACCCAGTCTTTTGTATTGATAGCTTACATTGTGTTGTCCCTTACTTCTTGTTCAGGGACAAAGCCCTCTTGGGTATTCCGAATCAAGATGTTCAACATGATATTTGTGAAAATATTTAAGCATCCACATTACGTAACAAAATGGGGCCATAATTTTGGCAAGGTTGAGGATCCTTTCCTTGTTTATCTGAGCTGTCAATGTTTGAGAAGGTAAGGGGGTAGATGGACCTAGGGAGTTAAAGGTGGTTGCAGGGGCGGACTGACCATTAGAGCACTCGGGCACTGCCCGAGGGCCCGGGGTCAGTAGGGGGCCCCATGAGATGCCCCTGGTACCTTTCATTGGCTTTTTCATAGGCTTTTGTGGGTGTGGATGAGGACACAGGGGCCCCATGATCCCCTATTGCCCGGGGGCCCCATGAGTTATCAGTCCGCCCCTGGGTGGTTGTTAAGTTGTTTAGCAAGTATAATTTGGAGCAGGTTGTAAATAATATGATGGAAGGCCATCCAGACCTGAGCGTTTGCCCTGCTTTATTTGCAAGATAGTGGTGAGGACTTCTTCTATTGGAATGGGAGACTCCAGTGCCTGATCTGAAAGTGTCTCTAGAGTAAGCATATTAGATTTCTGAAGCAGGGTTTGTATACAATTTTTACAATCAACTAGCTGTTCTTCATCTAAGTTCTGAGGGTTTAGATTACTGACTATTTTTAATTCTGTGAATAATTACTTGATAGCACTTGGACTTGGCAACTCTAGCTAACAGCCTACCATGCTTATTCCCTCCTTCATAGTACATGCCACAGTGGGTTTGTATTGTAATGAATGATTTCTAGTAAACAGGAGTATATTTCTTATATCAGATATGTTGTGAATAGAAGCAAGTTTCTTACCTGATCAACAGTCACTGCAAGCTTTTAGACTGAATTGAATAAACCCCAAAATCTGCATTAATTTGACTACTGCTTCCTCTGATGCCTGTAATAGTTGTCTTCTCAAACAGTTCTGCTTTCAATACCTTGGTTTTGTACCCTGGTTTGTAATACAATGATACATTGACCTGAAATGTGGCCTACAAAATGTTTCTTAGTTCCCTCGATAGACTGTTACATGAATGCTGGACAGTCTTTTATGAGATAGTAATGGTTTGTCAAGCAATCTATACTCATTTTATTAATCCTCATGGGGATAAGTAAGCTTGCCTGATCATCACTAGCAAAGCTTGTACGGTTTTTCTTTTGCTAGTGAGTACTAAGCCAAGTAGGATTGGTTTGAACTAATGCACTGACTATCAGGGATACATCATTTTGGAACACTATAGTTTCTCACTACAAAACTGGCACTCAAAGAACCTCTCTCTCCTCAAGTTTAAAGTGCAAATTAACATAGCAATAAATGGCTTCATTGCTTCAGACACAGGAGAGATCTGATTTTATTCATGTCACAGCAGACTTATTAATTTCTTGCGTTTAGCCTGAGTGAGCAGGACAATATTGGAGTAGGTCAGTAGACCACTGGGGAACTGCCTGAGTTCTGACATTGAGCTGTCATCAGCTTTATCAGAAGACCCAACTAATCAATCTTTTCACTGAGGACAAAGATTAATTCTCAACTACTTGTTCTTAGGGAGATTTATCTCCAGGCCAAAAGCCCAATAAGAGAAATCAAATAGCATACATAGAGACTAGTGTTGTTCAGTCTTATGCTCAATTACTTTTGGCCTCTTTTGGCTTTAGCATGTACAAGTAAATCACAAGATTTCACTAAGGACATGCTAAAGGATTTTCCATATCATAAATGGTCAGCGTCTTTAGTTTCTTTGTGCAATAACAATTAGAGGACTATGTCTTCTTTTTATCTAGAGCCATAATTTCAAAACTGTCTATGGCAGGTGAATGTGGAATGGTGACTTGAGTATTCAGGTATAACAGTACAGCCGTATTTGAAATGTTACCTCTCTAATGATTAGTAACTGTAATTATTTGTTCTTAGTACTTGATGAAGAATCGCTGAACGTGTCCAACCAAGAACTTTAGAACACAATCTTCGGAATCGAGGAAAATGTGTTGGTTTGCTTTTTCTTGTGTTTAGTGGTGTTGACCTGCTTTTAAAGTGGTAGTAAACACCGCTTGGACACTTGTACGTACAGGTAAGTTTATAATAACCTGTAGGTACAAGGAATATCTTCTAAATGCACACCGATTAGGAGATATTCAGTGCCTCTCCAGCCTTTGATGTCCCTTTAGAGCAGCGTTTTTCAAACGGGGTGCCCAGGCACCCTGGAGTGTCTTGGTTTCCTCAGGGGTGCCTTGGCAAAATGCCTAAAAATTGCCCAAAAAGTGTGTACAAGCTAGAGGTGGATCAAGCCTGCCTTTTAGTTACACAAGGTCTTCCACAGGTTTTTATTGTGCACCATTATGACCTTGTAGCTGCCGCCATCCCAACAACCAATGACATCATCAGTTGGTAAGAAGGATGTTGGTTGTCTGCACAGCATCCTTGTTTGACCCTCCCGTGCCCCTCTCCATCAGCTCTGGAGTCACATTAGCTGAGTGATGAAGAAAAACTTGGGAGAAGGGAAGCTTTGGAATACTAGTCAGTACCAGTGTGCAAAAGTGTATTTGATTTGGAAGAAGAATAAATCACCTCTTAACGTTGGGTGTTCTACGTGTGTGGATGTTGACACATTGTGTAAAACTATTAGTATACTTTTTTACATTTTAAAATGGGTACCTCAAGACTTTCCATAATTTTAAAGGGTACCTTGAAATTTTCCATGATTTTAAAGGGTGCCTTGACTGAAAAAAGGTTAAGAAACACTGCTTTAGAGCTCTGTGCCGTGGCCATGACTGCCCACATGCGCTGGAGAGACCTCATTGCGGTTCGGCCATTCAAATGGCCGGAGCCTACAAACCCAGAAGGAAGACCAGGTGAAGGTGGAAGCCCTGTCAGCGGTGACAGCGCGCCACTGAAGAGCTTCATTTCAAGGTAAGGTAAGTATTTCATAATGTGCTAGATTTGTCAGAAAACCTTTACTTTCCTTTCAGAATCAATATTGTCTATGGGACACTATACTACAAAATGTTCCCACAAATGCGGGCCATTGATTGCAAACAAGATTTGTAATTTGCAAACACAAAGTATCTTTCCTAACAAATTCTTTCATGACAGTGTTGCAAAAATGAATACACCCCAGTGAAAGTCTTAGGAGCAAAGCTAAATTTTAGACAACAAAATCCTAATTAACAAGAATTTAGCTACAGGTGAGTCTAATTATTTATTAAACAGGTGCCCAACAGATTGATTATAAAAGGGCATTACTTAACCACCTCCCGCCCACCATATAGTAATATGACGGGCGCAAGGTGGTTCTCTTGTTCTGGGAGGACGTCGTATGACATCCTTCCATTCTCACTGCACATGCATGGCTCAGGGAGTGTGCAGCGCGGCAATCGGCGGTGCGCTGTGTCCCTCGGACACAGCGGATCTCCGATCATGGAAAGAGCCGAAGATGTCGGCTCGGTCATGTGATCAGCTGTGTCCAATCACAGCTGATCACATGTAAACAGGGAAATGCTGGTTATCGGTATTTCTCTCCTCTCGAGCGGTCACGCTGACCACTCGAGAGGAGAGCCGGTAATCGTACATGTACACAGATCATCAGGGGGCTGATGATCAGTGTAGCCCCAGCAGTGCCACCTGTCAGTGTCCATCAGTGCCTTATGTCAGTGCTCATCAGTGCCTCGTGCCAGTGCCCATCAGTGCCACATATCAGTGCCTACCAGTGCACATCAATGCCACATATCAGTGCCCATCTGAGCTACCTTTCAGTGTCACCCATCAGTGCCAGTCAGCGCCACCTATCAATGCCAATCAGTGCCACCTATCAGTGCTGCCAATCAGTGCCACCTATCAGTGCCTGTCAGTGACACCTATCCGTGCCAGTCAGTGCTGCCTATCAGTGCCGCCTATCAGCGCCACCTATCAGTGCCACCTATCAGTGCCGCCTATCAGTGCCACCTATCAGTGCCATATATCAGTGCCATGTATCAGTGCTGCCTTTCAGTGCCCATCAGTGATGCCTGTCAATGCCCATCAGTACCACCTACCAGTGCCTCCTCATCAGTGCCCATCAGTGCCACCTATCAGTGCAGCCTCATTAGCGCACATCAGTGAAGGAGAAAAATCACTTATTTACAAAATTTTATAACAAAAACTAAGAAAAAACATTTTTTGTTTTCAAAATTTTCAGTGGTTTTTGGTTTGTTTAAGAAAAAAGAAAAAATCCCAGAGGTGATTAAATACCTCCAAAATAAAGCTCTATCTGTCACAAAAAAAATGATAAAAATTTCATATGGGTACAGTGTTGTTTGACCGCGCAATTATCATTCAAAGTGCAACAGCGCTGAAAGCTGGAAATTGGCCTGGGCAGGAAGGGGGTATAAGTGCCCTGTAGGCTAGCGGTTAAAGAAAATCCCACGTTTTTCAGCAATGGCACCGCATGGAAGAGAAATGTCACAAGGCCTGAAAAAGAAAATAATTTCTTTACACAAGAAAGGTGAAGGCTACAAGAAGATCAGCAAAGCTTTACTTATCAGTCAGGATACTGTAGCAAAAGTGATACACAAATTTAACAGATGGAACTGCAACCATCTCCAGACCGTCCACAGATGTTAACACCTCAACAGGAGCGTCTTCTGATGAGAAGGGTTGAAGAAAATCACCATGCAAGTTCACTGCAGTTAGCTAAAGAAATATTCAAACTAGGGTGATTGTTTCCCGTGATACAATACAGTGTATACTGCAGAGGAATGGCACGCATAGGTGTTATCCATGAAGGAAGCCTCTCCTAAAGCCCATTCACAAAAAAGCTTGCCTAGAATTTGCCAGGGCCCATACTGAAAAAAGAAGACTAATGGGACTCTGTACTCAGGAGTGATGAGACCAAGATAAATGTTTTTGGAACTGATGACTTCAAAACTGTATGGAGTCGCAAAGGTGAGGAGTACAAAGAAAAATGCAAGGTGCCTACAGTGAAACGTGGTGGCAGTGTCCTTCTGTGGGGCTGCATGAGTGCTGCTGGTGTCAGGGAGCTGCATTTCATTGATGGTATCATGAATTCACAGATGTACTGCTCTATATTGAAAGAGAAGATGCTACCATCACTCCGTGACCTTGGTCGTCGTGCATTTTACCAACATGACAATGATTCAAAGCACACATCAAAAGCCACTGTTGCATTTCTGTAGAAGAACAGGGTGAAAGTGATTCAGTGGCCAAGTATGTCTCCTGATCTGAACCCAATCGAACACCTGTGGGGAATTCTGACGAGACAAGTTGAGTATTACTCTCCATCTAGCATCCAGGCTCTAAAAGAGGTCGTTCTTGAATAGTGGAAAAAAGACAAATGTTATAATATGTCACCAACTTGTTCACTCCATGCCTGGAAGACTTGGTGCTGTCCTTACAAATCATGGAGGTCATACAAAATACTAGATGTAGTAGTTGTGTTGTGGAGTGTATTCATTTTTGTATCAACTAATTTGAATGAAACTGAAGATTTTGTAATCTAAGTTATGTTGTTAATCTTACTTTCATGTAAAAGCTAAACAAATGTTCTATAAAACTCAATTTTTTTTTAAAAAATTAGAAATTGTTCTTGTGTTCATTGAGAAATTGATTATAATCTTACTTTTCAAAAGGGGTGTACTCATTTATGCTGAGCACTGTGTACTAGCACAGTATGTTCTTAAAATGCAGCAATATATATATTTTTTTTTAGATGAATTTACTAACGCTTTAACTCCCTTATGTGTTGCACGTATGACTTACTTCAGCCTGCCTATAGGTTGCTTTGATCTGCTTCTATGGTGCTTTGAGTTGCGTCTAAGATACTACGAACTGCTTTTGCTTGCACATTGACTTGTTTGAGAAAGAAAAACTATTTAAATGCTTGCTGCACAGGTCTAAAAAACTAGTTACTATTGCAAAAGACTTACATTTTTTATTTATTTTATTGTCCCTTAGGCTGTATTCACACCTAGATGTTTTTAATTGTGGGTAGATTTGCCTCAATTCTGTCCGTGATTTCAAAATGCTCTACTAAAATGGCAAAATGCACAACATGGATTTTAGATGCCATTCATTTGAATGGTACCTAAAAACACGGTGCTGTTCTGTTGCGTGAAAAAATTCTGCTGCAATCATGACAAACTGCAACACGCGAAGCTTGTCGCCCAAAAAGGAGCAGGAGCTATATGGAAATGACATATGGTAAATGACACATGACTATGATGAGTTCTAGTAAACATCTATTCTTGTGAAGAATTTTTATTGACTCTTTGAGATCAAGATTGAGATCCCTGATTTCAGTTTTGAATACAAATCAGTGAACCTCCTTGGCTCAGCAGGGAGGAGGCATAGCTTCCAAACGGCATATTACCAGTGTAGGCTTACATCAAGTGATTCAATGAAGCTGCTGCTGTTAAGTTATTTTATTTTTTCTTCAGCATTTTTAAATTTGATACACAGTGGCAAAATCAGGGAACAGTTAAATTGACATGAATAAAAATATTTTGGCACTTTCCCCTAGTTCAGTAAAATCCACTTTTTATGTAAACAGCAGGAATACATAGTTGGATTAAATTAATGTAATTGGGGATATCGCTGGACCATAAGAAGAACTGTAAAGTGATTAAAATGGGCTCCACTTTTGGATTAAAAGTTTAATGTTTTCTTAAAATGGAAACAAAATAAGCCTATCCATACATATGCATACTGTATGTGAATTTTGTTGGAAATCTAGTAAGAGACTTGTTTAAGAAAATGTAATAGCTTCATTTGTAACATTTGCCCTTGTGGTGGTCACCAAGAAATATTTACCATCTATCCACGCCATTGTTTGAATTGTCCCTTCAATTGATCCAGTCGTAGTGCAAGTTACAAGTATACACCAAGTACAGCTACAGAGATTGATTCCAAATACTGTACATGGATAAAGTGCTCAGCCTATTCATGTGTTTTGCATTATATAAATATAGGCTAAATCTAGGAGCAGTGTAATGTATTGATATCATCTGCTTGATGTTGTGATTGGAAGTAAGTAACTTTATATCTGCTCTCCAGATTCCATATAGTATTACAACATTCAGACACATTGAGGATAAGAAGCCTTAATACAATTGCCAAGGTCTGCAAATACCAAGACTTATATGCCTTCTTTTTCATAAATCCCTGCTTGTAAACCATACATTTATCTTTGGCAGTTTAAGATGACGGAAAAAAAAAAACTTTTTTCTGGAGGAACCCCAACAGCACACAATTTAAACAGAAAATGTAAGGACGTGGTTAGCTTATGCCACGGTGTATTAAGCTTGCTTGTAATTTGAGGGAAAACAGTCTGTTTTTACTGGGTTTCTAAATTAAAAAAAGGGCTAAAAAATTACTTGAACAAGATTATTTATTTTTTAAATATAAAATATCCCAATACTTTGCAAGACAAATCGTGACTTCTGGGAACACTTTGAACTTGTGTGATATAAATGAAATAAATATTGTAATGAAAGAAATGTGTGGTTATAATATAAAAAAAGGAACAAAAACGAAAAAAAAAAAAAAAACAATTTATGTGAAAACAACATAAACAGGTTCATTAATAAACATATTTCGGAAAGGAAGAATGCAACCAACCAAATAATCACCTGCTGTAAAATAAATTTTGATTGGTTAGGTCAGTAAATACCATTACACTTTGCTGCATGCTGTGAAGCAAGAGCTTCGGTCTACAGAAAAAATATCATGTTATTTTGAAATTAACCACTTTTGTAATATCACCATTTTCCCCTTTTAAGGAGAGACAAGTTTTTATGTAGCTCAGGACATCAAATCTGAAAAAAATCTTTGTGTTTGTAGTTCATTGCCAAGAAAAACATCACCAGCACACAGAGGATTTCCAGCTATGGTTCCAAAGCTTTAATAATCACATAGTTACAGCAAGTGCGGCATTTCGGAGTCTCGTAGGACCCCTTCATCAGGCATGTGATCCCTTCATCACGCATATAGTTCATTGACAGCACATCATAGCTTAGCTAATACCTAGTACACATGGGGAGTTGTTTTTGGTTTAAGTGATGTTATTGTGGTGATCTTCCCCCCGCTGAGCTATTGTGTTCTGACAGAGGGACTGCCTCCCCCTGCAAGAACACAATGATCAGTGCTCACAACCATTGGCTATGCGCTGAGCAGATGCTGGTTTTCCAGCATGCTTGTTCGATAAAAGCTGGTCATTATACCTGCTTCTGTTGGACAGGCTGCCATAATACTGGCCCGAATGTCGGTTGATTTCTGTTGAACTGGCCAGTATCGGCTTGTGTGTATCAGCCTTAACAGCTTTGCTTAGTTAATGAGATGAGGCTGTGTTTACATCATTCATCCAATCTAGTGCAAAAAAATGTCCTGTTGGAGGTAATCTTCCAAAGTGAGAGGAATTCTCTCCAATGAGGACAAAGATAGCATTAAAAACTTGACAGAGGGTATAACCCTTCTGTACTCTATCCAAAATTAAACAAAAGGTTTTGCCTAGAATTACTGTATTCTTCGCTCCATAAGACATACTCCCCCCCCCCCCCCCAGAAAAAAAAAAATGGGGGGAAATGTTGTTGTGCATCTTATGGAGCAAATATTGACAAGGCCTCCCCCATCAAATCCACAATCTCAGAAAATTAGAATATTACATGCAATCAATAAAACAAGGATTGTACATAGAACAATATCGCACCTCTGAATATATAAGCATGCATATGTACTCATTACTTGGTTTGGGCCTCTTTTGCAGCAATTACTGCCTCAATGCGTTGTGGCATGGAAGCTATCAGCCTGTGGCACTGCTGAGGTGTTATGGAAGACCAGGATGCTTCAATAGCGGCCTTCAGCTCTTCTGCATTGTTCAGTCTCAGGTCTCTAATCTTTCTCTTGGCTATGCCCCAAAGATTCTCTATGGGGTTCAGGTCAGGCGAGTTTGCTGGCCAATCAAGCGCAGTAATCCCACGGTCATTGAACCAGGTTTTGGTGCTTTTGGCAATGTGGGCAGGTGCCAAGTCCTGCTGGAAAATGAAGTCAGCAACCCCATAGAGCTCATCTGTGGAAGGAAGCATGAAGTGCTCTCCAAAATCTCCTGGTAGACGGCTGCGTTGACCCTGGACTTAATGAAGCACAGTGGACCAACACCAACAGATGACATGGCTCCCCAAATCAACACAGACTGTGGAAACTTCACACTGGACTTCAAGCATCTTGCAGTGTGTGCCTCTCCATTCTTCCTCCATACTCTGGGTCCTTAGTTTCCAAATGAGATGCAAAAGTTGCTGTCATCAGAAAAGAGGACTTTAGACCACTGAGCAACAGACCAGGTCTGTTTTTCTTTAGCCTAGGTAAGACTCTTCTGACGTTGTTTGTTGTTCAGGAGCGACTAGACAAGAGGAATACGACATTTGAAGCCCATGTCCAGGATCCGTCTGTGTGTGGTGGCTCTTGATGCACTGACTCCAGCCTCAGTCCACTTCTTGTGAAAGTCCCCAACACTTTTGAATGGCCTTTTCCTGGCAATCCTCTCCAAGCTGCAGTCATCCCTGCTGCTTATGCACCTTTTTCTTCCACACTTTTCCCTTCCACATAACTTTCTTTTAATGTGCTTTGATACAGCACTTTGGGAACATCCAACTTCTTTTGCAATTACCTTTTGAGG